ACCCTTCCCTTTCTGCAGTAGAAAAGAAAGAGACACCCGCCTTGCCTGGGCTGCCCTTCCTGTCCTCCCGGCCTGGGCTCCACCTGCAGCTGGAAGGCATGACACTCGTGCCAGGGACCATGACACCATCGCCCCGCCAGGGTGTCTCAGTCTCCGTGTGCATCATGTGTCTCACTCTAGGCACAACTGTTTCGCCGAAACGTAGACAAGGGTGGTCGAGGTGGCCAGTCTTTCCCTAGAAGTCCAGGTGGAGATGGCCTGCAGTTCCCTCCACAACTGCTCTGCAGAAACAACCCTGACGTTCCAGAAAAGCAACACAAACTGAAAGGGATGCCAGGCAGACCAGGGGCAGGTCCTGGAGTGGCCTCCAGCTGACCTGTGATGGTCAGACTCCTCTTGCCCGGTGGGCGTGTTCACAGCAGAGTCTCGCGCTCTGCTGCGTAGCTGCTCTTTCCATCCAGGAGCCCGGCACGTTGGCCATCATTAATTCCCATTTTTCTATGACCAGCCTCAGATTCCACAGCAACAGCTGCCTAGCCTGGGCCCTCCCACCTGCACTACCTGGAGCTATGGCCAGGAGCACACCCACCCCTTCGCAGATCAAGGCAGGAGAGAGCACGAAAGCATGTAGGCATGTGTTCACAATTATCGAAGGGGGGAGTTCCTGAGATTCCATATTCATTAAACCTTCCTAGACACTTAGACAGGTGACAGCTTCTCCAAAGGAAATAAAGATGAATCTTTGCTTCAAATGTATTTTTAGCTGGAGGCAACATCTTGCGATAAATACGTCTTTACTGACCTTCGAACTGAGGGCGAGCATGGTGATATTCCAATGGACTGGTGTGAGTTCCAAGGGTGTAATTGGGACCTCTCGCGGGGGCCCATGCGGGTAACCCCAGCACTCTAAGAGACTGAGATGGAAGCATTGCTTGAGCCCAGGAGTTTGAGACCAGCCTGGGCAACATAGCAAGACCCACCCCTAAAATATTTCTTAGAAAATAATCCGGGTGTGGTGGCAGGCACCCGTAGTCCCAGCTAACCAGAAAGCTGAGGTGGAAGGATTGCTTTAGCACAGAATTTTGATATTGCAGTGAGCTATTATTCCATTACTGCACTCCAGCCTGGGTGACAGAGTGAGACTCTGTCTCTAAAAAAATTAAAAACAAAAATACAAAAGTATAATTGCATCTTGCTTGTTGCATGGTTTATATATCATGTGAGAAGCTTTCTTGCTTGTATGCTAACATGACAAAATAAATAAGATGACCTCATATTTCACCAGTGATAAAAGTGAAACTCAGCTCCCAGAGAAGCAATGGTAGAGAAAAGATTCAAGTTCTGGACTATCAAATTCTAATTTCATACTCTTATTTTTATATTTCAAACAAAATGATTCTTTTGGTTGGTTCAGATTAGCCCCATCCTACATGGGCGCCAAGTATGGATACCAAACGGTGATTTCTCTTCTCCTCTTCTTGTGCTGTTTGTGATGATTTTAAAACACACAGCTCTGCACTTGCCCTAGAATGACTGTTTGTATTAGTAAACACCAACAGATCGTATTTTCAATATTCTCAAATTTTGTTGTAGAACAATACTCTTACTGAAAAAATGGTTTATCTCGGGAGTAAAGACTTCTCTACAGACTTGCATTAAGGCCACTGCCCTAACTTTGGCCAAAACTCTCATTGCTATACCACATTTGAAGCTTCAGGAATTGCTGACAGTTTTGAGTAGCTGACACCTGGAAAAGGGGCCACTGCAGCGAGACTGGGGGGCGGCCCAGCCGGCTGCTGCGGTCCCTGCCTGCTGGCCAGAGTTCCTCCTCCAAAGGTGCCGTGGAACTCCACCACAGAAATGGTGGCTCCCATGCCTCTCACAAGCCATGGCTGAGGTCTCCATAAGCAGACACGAGAGACGTGTCAAAGGCTTATATTTAAAATGTGTGTCCAGTACCTTCTCTGTGAATCACCAGGAGCAAAGAGGGGTAAATGTGATCACTTTCAGTAGCCAGCTTTGGGCGAGCTCATAACGGGAATCTGTTCTTTGAAAGCCCAGAGCGTTAGCTTTAAAAAGATGTGCTCAGAGAGCCACGAGCTAATGAATTTCATCAGGGCAAATCTAGCAGCTCGAGTTTACCTGACCAGTTTCCAAAGGCATCTGCCCCCATCCTAGGCAAGCAGGGTCTATCTGGCGGCCATCACGGCAGGGACCTGCAGCTGAAGAATGAAATGGAAACAGAACTTCTCGGCTGTGCACACTCCATCCTGCCAGACACCACAGCTATTTTAAGACCATTTGCCAAGCCTCTTAAGAAAACTTCCATGCAGGGGGAACGGGGGTGCCAATAAAGTTGTAAGGCAAAGGCCAATTTTTCTTCATTTGATAGCTCTGAGCCTTCACAGGGCCCCACAAGCAGGCAGCGAGCGGGCAGAAAAGGGCAAGATGACTTGACTTTTTGTTCTTCGAATCGACTCCCTGGCAGTGAAATAGCTCCCCAAAGCCATTCCTGGTATGTGCGTAAATTCTCTGTAAACGGAGGAAAATTTCTCAATTAGGAAACTTTACCAGGAAGCCTTCAGAAGGAAGGGGATAGCAGGCAGGCACTGCCTACCCCAGAAAGGTTGCTGCTGGCCCCGAGGGGCTGGCCCAGCCTCGTTCTTTGACTAAAGAATGATCTAGACCTGAGCATAAAACCAGGGATTCTCTTGGAAACAAGGTCACTCGACCATGGCTGTGCCACCAGGAAGTCATCCTAACAACAGCAGCTGAGCTTCCTGGCATTCCAGAGTGAACCCAGTCACTTTCTTTCATTTAAAGAGCATAGGAAGAAATGTCCTGGACCCTAACAATGCAGTAGAGGATAAACTTTTGCCTCCTACTTGCAGTTTTGTCTCAAATGAGAACAAGTTGATATAAACTGAAGACGCCACATTTTTCCCCAGGAAACACAGCTTTGCTATCAGTCACCCACCCAGCAAATGCTTCATTGCGAAGTTCCCTTATCAAGATTCCATGCCATAGACAGAGCTATTTTGAAAGTCAATGTCTCGCTCTTTTTGAAAGCTTCACTCGCTGTGTGTTTTTAGATGCAAGCTTCAAACTGTCAGAGTTTTGTTGCTGTTGATAAAGCCGGCCTGGGATTGATGCCCAGAGGGTGGTCTGACTTGAAATTATGACACAAAACTTGAATTAAATTAATTCTCTTGGTAGCTCAGGAAAAAAGGCAAAGAAGACACACTCTCTGAGCTGCACAAATAGATAATCCATAATTGTTATTGGTCAGTGAATGTCTTGCTTTCCCAGCTTTAATGGTATTTCTTACACACTTCGTATTTGCCAAGATAATATTTCTGCCGACATTTGAATCTAGTGGCCTCCAGGAGACTTGGCCAGCAGCATACTTCATGCTCTGAGTGCTGGCTGGGCGTTTGTGTGAATATAGACATCAGAAATGAAAACAACTGGCTTTTCTTTAACAACATTAAATATTTACACCCTAAACCTCCATTAGCTTTCTGTCCATTTTGAAAGGCAATTTCCAATAGGAATGTTCCTATTACACTTTAGCTACTTCGGACCCTACAAAACGGTCTCATACCTTCTCAATAAATACTGTGGTCACATAAAAGATCTCAGACACTCTAAGCACTGTGTGAAATTAACCAGGTGCAGAATGTTTTTGGGGGGTGACTAAAGGGTTCTGGAATTAGACAGTTGTGTTCCTTACACAAGTTTGTGAATGTACTAAGCCCACCGGATTGCACACCTGAACACAGTGTGTTTTATGACATCTGAATTATATCTCAATGAAAATAAAATTAACCCTTGAGACCAACATGTTCACCTTTGAAATCTACCATCTATTTCACGTGGGGCTTCAAGTAGCACTTTCTTAAACAGGGTATTTTTCCTTAAATATTCCTGTGGTTTCATCTAAAATTTCTGCTCATTTGAGCAATGAGCTTGGGTTTCTCTAGCTGTGGGGCGTCACTTGTCAAGACATTTTTTTTTAGATTGGTAGCCTTTTATTGGAATAAATCAGAATAAAAACTGCAGTGTATGTGCTACGTAGCAAGTGCAGGTATCCCTCGCCGAGTGAGGCTTGCTCCAGCTCGCTGTCTGGGCATGTGAACCAGGCTGTGGTGCAGACCCCACAGTTAGCTGTGGTTCCCCATTCAGACTCTGAAAGGTGCTGCCTAAGTCTCCCAGGCAGGGAGCTGTGTCCAGGCGTCAGGTTTTGCTGGTGCTGCTTCTGGACATTTCAGGAGGTTAGAAGGGTCACACTCCAAAGCCACTAATGTCTGAAGTGCTTGGAGGGGCCGATATGCAGGAGATTTAAACATTAAAAAGTATCTAAAAGTAGAACTATCATTTCATCTAGCAATCCCACTGCTGAGTACTGACCCAGAGGAAAAGAAGTCATTATTTGAAAAAGATTCTTGCACACACATGTTTAGAGCAGCACAATTTAAAATTGCAAAATCGTGGAACCAACCGAAATGCCCCACAATCAATGAGTGGATAAAGAAACTATTTTATATAAATGTGTGTGTGTGTGTGTGTGTGTATATATGTATATATACATACATATATATATATACATACATATATATACATACATATATATATACATATATATATACATACATATATATATATACATACATATATATATATATATATATATATATATATATATATATCTCCGTGGTTTTATGCTCAGGTCTAGATCATATATATATGATGGAATACTATGCATCCATAAAAAGAATAAGTTAACAGCATTTTCAGTGACCTGGATGAAACTGGAGACTATTATTCTGAGTGAAGTAACTCAGGAATGGAAAAACCAGACATTGTATGTTCTCACTGATGTGTGGGAGCTAAGCTATGAGGACACAGAGGCATAAGAATGATACAATGGACTTCGGAGACTTGAGGGGAAGAACGGGAAGGAGTCAAGGAATAAAAGACTCCAGATAAGGTGCAGTGTAAGCGTTGCACAGTGGCGGTATCGTAGCCAATGAGGTTTATCCGAGGCGCAATGATTGCTAAGTGAAAACTTTTCCCAATGCCCCGCCGTGACGACCTGCAATACAGTTGACACTGGCTATTTTTGACAGTCTCTACGAAGGCTGATAAATAAATAAATAAATAAATAAATAGGGTGCGGTGTATACTGCTCAGGAGATGGGCGCGCCAGATCTTAAGGATCACCGCTAAAGAATTTCCTCATGTAACCAAACACCACCTGTACCCCAACAACTTATGGAAAAATAAAATAAAATAAATATAAGTAAGTAAATGCAAGCTACACCCGCTTTGAGATTCAGTGGCTCACTTACCCTGTCTGTGTCTGGGGGTCCCCAAGTGGAGAGCGTTGCTTGCACAGGCTTTTTAATTTCTGGGGAAATTAAAGTATACGAATGTGTATGTGTATGTATATACCTATGTAACATGTGCAGACCTTGCAGGATTGTTACATAGATATACACATATACACATGCCACGGTTGTTTGCTGCCTCCATCCCCCCATCACATACATTAGGTATTTCTCCCAATGTTATCCCTCCCCAATCTCCCGTCCCTGATATCCCTCCCCTAGCACCTCACTCCCCAACAGACCCCATGTGTGATGTTCCCCTCCCTGTGTCCATGTGTTCTCATTGTTCAACACCCACCTATGAGTGACAACTTGTGATGTTTGGTTTTCTGTTCTTGTATCAGTTTGCTGAGAATGATGGTTTCCAGATTCATAGATATCCCTGTCAAGGAAATGAACTCATCCTTTTTTATGACTGCATAGTATTCCATGGTGTATATGTGCCACATTTTCTTTATTCAGTCTATCATTGATGAGCATTTGGGTTGGTTTCAGGTCTTTGCTATTGTAAACAGTGCCACAATGAATATACATGTGCATGTGTCTTTATAATAGAAGGATTTATAATCCTTCAGGTATATACCCAGTAAAGGTATTGCTGGGTCAAATGAAATTTTTATTTCTAGATCCTTGAGGAAATGCCACACTGTCTTCCACAATGGCTGAACTAATTTACACTCCCACCAACAGAGTAAAAGTGTCCCTGTTTCTCCACATCCCCTCCAGCATCTGTTGTCTCCAGATTTTTTAATGACTGCTATTCTAACTGGCCTGAGATGGTATCTCAATGTAGTTTTAATCTACATGTCTCTAATGACCAGTGATGATGAGCATTTTTCCTGTTTGTTGGCTGCATAAATGTCTTCTTTTGAAAACTGTTTGTTCATATGCTTCACCCACTTTTTGATGGGGTTGCTTGTTTTTTTTTCTTGTAAATTTGTTTTAGTTTTTTGCAGATTCTGGATATTAGCCCTTTGTCAGATGGGTGGATTGCAAAAATTTTTTCCCCATTCTGTTGGTTGGCAGTTTACTCTAACGTTTGTTTCTTTTGATGCATGGAAGCTCGTAAGTTTGATTAGATCCCATTTGTCTGTTTTGGCTTTTGTTGTCATTGTTTTTGGTGTTTTATTCATGAAGACCTTACCCATTCCTATGTCCTGAATGGTAGGAACAAACTCCCATTCACAATTGCTACAAAGAGAATAAAATACCTAGGAATACAACTAACAAGGGATGTAAAGGACCTCTTCAAGGAGACATACAAACCACTGTGCAAGGATATAAGAGAGGACACAAACAGATGGAAAAACATTCCATGCTCATGGTTAGGAAGAATCAATATCATGAAAGTGGCCATACTGCCCAAAGTAATTTATAGATTCAATGCTATCCCCATCAAGCTACCATTGACCTTCTTCACAGAATTGGAAATATCCACCTTAAACCTCATATGGAACCAAAAAAGAGCCCGCATAGTCAATAAAATCCTAAGCAAAAAGAACAAAGCTGGAGGCATTATACTACCTGACTTCAAACTATACTACAAGCTACAGTAATCAAAACGGCATGGTACTGGTACCAAAACAGACATATAGACCAATGGAACAGAACAGAGGCCTTGGAAGTAATGCCACACAGCTACAACCATCTTATCTTTGACAAACCTCACAAAAACAAGCAATGCGGAAAGGATTCCCTGTTGAATAAATGGTGTTGGGAAAACCGGCTAGCCATGTGCAGGAAGATGAAACTGGACCCCTTCCTTACACCTGATACAGAAATTATCTCCAGATGGATTAAAGATTTAAACCTAAGAACTAACACCATAAAAACCCTAGAATATCAGTACATTTTAAAGTCAAGTGTCTTCTGTGAACAAAAACCTTCCTGCATGTCTGAGGTTTATCAGGTCAAAATTTTATCTTCTTCACAACTATATGCCTCTGGATCTGCTGCCCCCAAAATGCACCTTCATCTCTTCTTTTTAGGAGCTTCTCTCTGTTTCTGGCTCCATGTCAAGGTAAAACTATTCAGTTTTGACTGTTGGGAATGTGTCAGTCTATCCCACCGTTTGGGTTATACCCCAATTCATGCTAAGCTGCCCTGTGGTCTTTGGGGCGCACTTGCTCCACGGCCCCTGTGCAGCCCCCACATGTCTGTTATGTATCACGCTTCGTGTCCTCCACACACTCTGTCCTAGAGTCCGCAGCCTTCTGTGGTGTGAAGCATCCTGTGAACCTCAGCTGACCTGTGGGGTGGAGGTAAGGTAGCCCAGCAGACTGGGCACATCATGGCCACAGAATTCCCATTGCATGAGGCCCAGAGGAGTGTCTTTCAAGAATGAGAGGTCGGCAGGTCAGCCTGAGCGAATGGCAAGCTGGACACCCTGGGGCCTCTCACTCTTGTGCTAGCCTCTCCTAACTGGGAAAGCATCAGGGCAATGGTGAACGAGGCCCCCACTCTGAAGCGAGAAGCGAGCAGCCGCCTGTCCTGCCGCCGTCCTGGTGATGATGGCTGGCATAAAGAAGGGACGAGGCCCTGATACTGGACTCCATGGGGCCCAAACGGCCACTCGGATACATGAAGACTGTGCTTTGGGAACATGCAGAGAGCCCACCACGGGGCAGGATGGGTGGAGTCAGCGTGGGTGTACTGGGTGAATGGCAGGGAAGAGTCCTCCACTGAAGTCAGGGGCAGAGCTCAGCAATCAGGGGCTGGCAGGGAGGATTCTGGAGGAGCCACAAGGAAGATGACTAGGGGAGCTGTGGTCTCCATTGTGGCAGGTGACTGCAAGGAGGCCTGAGCAAAGCCTTAGTTCTAGAGCAGTGACCACACATGTACCCTCAGCCTCCAAGTCCTGGGGAGATGTGGATGCCATAAATAGGGGAACGTGGAGAACACCCAGATCATAAGGTTCCACGTCCATTTCTGCAGATTGTGGCTCAGCGCCAGGCACTGAGGAAGGCTTCTGGATCTTACCTCTAACCAAGGACACTGGAAAACCAGCTGCATAGGCATGGGCCCAATGTGAGACAAGAAACAAGAGCAGCATTTACCCTCAAAGAGAAGCTGTGAACAAGAGCACAAGTCCCAGCTCTGAAACACAGTGGTGAGTCCCCTCGGAAAGGTGTGTCGCAAAGGTGAGGTCTTGGGAGCGTCTCAAGGCAATCGGAAGGGTGAGATGCTCTCACCCCAGAAGACCTGGAGTTTTTGCCACTTTGGGACAAGTTTACACCTAAGAAAAGCAAAGAGACAGAGGGTAGAAAAACCCATGATGTGAATCGGTCCAGTGAAACCTAAGAGGAAGAGCAGAGAACACATTTACCTGAGTTTGAGACTTTTTAGGACACCTCAGACCCTTTCTCCAAATGGAGCACTTTCTCCAAAGTGTTCTTAAGCAAACCACTTCTGGTCTCATGTGATGTTCCAGAAGCATTAGGGTCAGTCCTTTCTGGTGGGGAGCCCTGTAGACCCCTGCTTTATAAATGCTGAGGGACGCAGGCTGCTTGGAGCAGGTACAATTCTCACCATTCAAAAGAAAAGCAACTCCCCATGGTCTCAGACAAAATTGAGAAGCTATTTGACTGGTTGTGAGCCACTTCAGAGGAGAACAAAGTGCATTCTCTCCATGTGAATTCGAGAGGGCTTTATACAGATTAAGGCGATCTGGACTCTAGGATTATCTTTTGGGAAAGGCACAACATGAATGTTCTGGGGTGTCAGCCTTCCTTCTGGCTGGGTAGATCACTCAGGGGCATTCCACTTGGAGACGCCTCAGGAGAAAAGCCCCCCTGGATGCAGCATAAGAAATTGTCAGGGTGATGGGAACTCCAGTCGCAAAACACCCATTTCCCCTGGTTTAACCCCCTCACCTAAACATGCATGTTCCACAAAATCTTCAATGACCTATTGTTTTTTTAGGAACATTCCTCAAGTAAAGATTAAGCTAAAGAACCTCATACACACTTTCTGGTTCTTAATTTCCATGAAAATCTGTAATTTTATCAGTTGACAGCTTTGTACATTTTCTAATGCAACATGTAAATGATGTTCATTTAAAGGATCCAAAGAAACTTAAAAAAAGCCAGTTACTGTTATTTGAATAGGTGCTGACTGGAAATCAAGCTGATTGTGCCAAGAAAAGGCTCTCTGGGGAATTGTTTGTGTAGAAATGTGGTACATATACACTGTGGAATATTACGCAGCCATCAAAAACAATGAGTTCATGTCTTTTGTAGGGACATGGATGAACCTGGAAACCATCATTCTCAGCAAACTGACACAAGAGCAGAAAATCAAACACTGCATGTTCTCACTCATAGGTGGGTGTTGAACAATGAGAACACATGGACACGGTGAGGGGAGCACTACACACTGGGTCCGTTGGGGGGAAATGGGGGAGGGACGGGGGTGTGGGGAGGTGGGAAGAGATAGCATGGGGAGAAATGCCAGATACAGGTGAGGGGAAGGAAGGCAGCAAACCACACTGCCGTGTGTGTACCTATGCAACAATCTTGCATGTTCTTCACATGTACCCCAAAACCTAAAATGCAATTAAAAAAAAAAGAAAAGTAAAGTAAAAGAGAAGCAATTTAAAATACAAGAATTTGTTGCTACTGGAGGAGACAGGGTCAAGAGTGAAAATGGGTGTTAATTGTGCTAATGTTTCTCTTTGCTGTATATTGAGTATGTGGTAGTAAAGAAGATGCCTAAGCGTGAATGGACAGGGATGTCCTGATTCTGCTCTGATT